TCAATGTGTATGATTATGTATGTGATTGTTGGTTTGATTTGGATTGTTAGACAGTTTTGTTCATTTTCCATGTTTAGGTCGAATATGGATTAATCGGTAGAAACTGAGTTTTATCAGTTAGAATTTGGGTTTGATGGTGTAGATTAGTCGAGAAATGTTAGGCTAAGGCTACTGGAACAAGTTGGAATTGAATCGGGTGGACTTGATGAGTTTCAGAGTTTTGGACAGTGGGAAATTCTAAGTTCGCAGACCCTCGCTAGCAAATTCGCTAGGCAAGCAGGTCGCGAGCATTCACTGTAGCGAGGCAGTAGCGAACGGTCCCAGACTTGGACAAAATGGTTTTGGTGTTCTTCGCTGGTAGCGAAGGGGGTAGCGAGCATTCGCTAGGCCTTCACTGAGCGAGTGAGGTAGCGAATCAAGTCAGTGGCTTCTGTTTGCCTTCGCGAGCTTGTTCGCTAGGCGAACAGGTAGCGAGCACTCGCTAGGAGCTCGCTAGGCGAGCAAGGTAGCGAGCATGTCAGCATGTTGTTTTCTTGTGTTTTCCCTTCAATGTCGATTCTTCGATTCGAGTATGATTAATCCTTTCTTATTATGCATAGTTGTATGTTGTAATATGAAATGTCGTGGGTAGCCGTATGGCGTGAATCCTAGATTGTGAATCGTGGAGTGTGAAATGTGGCCGTTTGGCAATTTTGTGCATTTGTTTGAATTGAATGAAAATGCATGATGAAATTGATGTGAATGTGCACAATTGTATGTACTTGTATGATGTGAATAAAGCATGAGTATGTTTGTGAACGTGTATGCATTTCAAGAGTGTATGGAGTCGTTTTGCATGTGAAGCATCATGATTGCGTTCTCGTGTCTTGATCCCGCGTAGGATCTGCAAAAATCTTGTGTGCCCTTGTGGGGTGTGAGCGATGGTTTATATTTTGATCCCTAGGAGGATCTGCAGAAACCTCGTGTGCCCTTGTGGGGTGTTAGCGATGGTTTATATTTGATTCCGTGGAGAATTTGCAGAACGATTGTGTGCCCTTGTGGGGTGTGAGCAATCGGATTGTGTGACCGTGTGGGGTGTGAGCAATCCTGAAACATCGTGTGCCCATGTGGGGTGTGAGTGATGGGTGAACATCGTAGGCCCGACATGGAGTTACTTCGGTAACGAGCGATTGTTCCATTTGGTTCTTCAATTGAACCTGCTGAATGAGTCGGTACCGCATTTGCATCTGCATAGAATCGTGAGTCGGTCTCTATGAGTTGTATTTATCATCTTTATATGACGCATTGGTGAAATAAACATGAATGTAGATGTTTATGTGAATTGGTGATGAAATAAACATGTTGTGTATGTTTATATGAATGGACTGGAATTATGGATGTGTGCATGATAAATATGCATTGTGATGTATATGATGAAATATGATGAGTTGTGGTGAGAAATATGATATTTGTGTGCTCGATATTTGTATATAGATATATAATTATATGCATTGTTTGTTATGATAATGTTTCTCACCCTTCTGCTATTTTATGATGCTCTATGAGGCATTGTAGTATAGGTTGCTGGAGGTCTTTTTGTGAAGCGTGGCTTCATTCTTTTTGGTCGGTCGACTCTGATATGTAGCACCAGGTATTTAGGATTTGTTTTGATTCTTTTGTGATACATCTGTGTATGTATCTGTTGATGAATGTTTATGTAAACATGACTGATGAATTGAATTAATCTGAATGATGTATATAAGTTTATATGATTGAAGTGATTCAATGTTTAGATGTTTCCACTTTTATTCTAAATATTGAGATGTGGGTACAAGGACCAAGTTCCTTTGTTGTGAGTTGCCCATTGTTGCATATCCTTATGAGCAGGTGTTGTATGTTTTCAATTTCATGGATAATGTGACGCGCCTCTTTTATACCATGTGTTAAATTATACTCTGATGAAATTTTTATTAAGTGCCTAAATGATTTGTTTGATTATTTGGGGGTATATAAATGGGGTGTTACAGCGCCTATCTACTTCAAGCGTGGGGTTGGTCTAGAATGCCAACACTAGCTCCTATCAACCGAAATCCATTCACATTCCCCTACGCAAATAAGTAAGTTTATTTTTAAATATCAAACATGTATACTTTGGTAAAATATTTCTTTGTAACTAATTTATTTGTGTCACTTTCTTTTAGGTGATCAGCTCTGAAAATGAATTACCAACGATATCCCAGAAACTCAATAATCGTCAACCGCAACCTTTTAAAACACATTGGATTGGATGATGTAATTTATTCTTACATTATCATAAATTCGACTATTAAATTACCACACTATAATTTCTCTCATTAAATCTTTTGTTTATGTAGTTTGTATGAAGGCCGCATGGAGGTCTTGACGATCAGCTCAACATCGATGATATGACAGTGTGGATAGCTAAAACACTGATCATTCGATTCACTATAGTGGAGATGCACTAAAGTGATCAGGTGAAACTGCAGTTCAACATGCATCAATATATTCCATTCGCTCCGACGTCTTTGGGAGTCTGACATCAACTAAGGGTGGATGCACAATGGGGTGTAGATGGTTGGAAAAACTTTGCAAAAGAGATGTGTCAGCATTGGAATAATCGACATCAACACATCTAAGACGACCCTGTTGTGGAATATGCTAGACCAAGTCATAAATATATGATTTGATTTAGGTCGGTTACAACAACACAAAAATTTGTGTCTGAGCCGACATATTTGATTGATCCGCGCCAACGTGTTTCTTCCTCATACTCACAACAACAAACACATGTCCAACATCAAACACCGTGTTATATCCAACAACCATATCTACCCACCCAATCAATCTTCCAGAACTGCAAACCGTTCATGCCACATACCCAATCACAATAACAAGAGCCTTACCCTTACCGCCAACCTCCCGACACCGACACCACATCTGCCTATAGCCCCGATGACTATTTCAACTCCACCCCAACTCACCATAGCCTCCACAAATGGACACACAACCGTCCTACCACCAAAATACCCAACCATTATTTGACTACCTAACCCCACAATAACAATTACATCGTTTCCAAAACGATTCAATGTACTAATTCAGCCAACCATAACGTCCGCACCCAACCCACCCCCCCGTCCCAACTACGAAAACATGGACATGAAACTGATTTACACAAGCGTCGTTAGCAGCAACCCCCAGACTATTGAGGACAGATGATTCAAAATTTGTCAGATACGCCGAAAACCTCTCAACAAATACCTTTTCTACAAGGTAACACGCAAAGACCATCAACACCTCAACAAAATCGCGGTAGACTTAGACGCCGCGCAAATGCGCTAGGATGTAGAACCGGGAGACGTTTTGATCGAGCTGATCATTGAATTTTTTTCCCATCTATTGTAGACTTTTTTATATTACAAATATTGTTATTTAATTTTTCTTTGAATTTTTTAATCTATTTTCTATTTAATTTTCTAATTAACAAAAAAAAAACAATAAGGAGGATGCATTATATGGGATGGGGCATGGACTCTATTTAAGACAAATATAATGGTGGCGTCGTATGGGATGACGCATAAACTTTTTAAATATTGAGATTTACCATATGATATAGCGACACAACGTTAGTTGATTCTAAAACTTATTCACTTTAATAAATAATTTAAAACTTTAATTATTTTGACTGAAATAATGCGTAATTAAATTTTTTTTTCTCACAAATATAAGCTATCTCCGGTTTATTTATTTATTTTACAATCCGTTATTTGAATCTGTTTTTACCAGTGTAGACCACCCATTAGGTCATTACTGACTACATATTTTTTCTCTATTTTTCAAACTGAATACTTAACCAAGGTTTTAAAAAAGAGTGGTAAGAATACGATACAATTCCGAAGCTTTTGGCGCTCTTTCTCTCTGCACCGCACACTCAAACAACGAACGCCAACAATCACATTGCCGCCTTCTTTCCCCGTTCTCAAAAAACCTGCATTTCGTTCTCTCCGTGTTCTTAATTCCCATTCCCAAACCTCTCCTAATAAACGATAATTATCAATCACCGAAATCAACCACCGCATTCTCTCCGATATAATTTTAGTTTTCCCGCCAAATCAAACATGGCTTCACTTTTCCGACGGAAAACACCAGCACCGTGAATTTCTCCTACAGTAAACAAACCGTTAGTTTTCGTGTTGCATTTTACGTCTCAATCTCTCGATTATTGTTTTTTAATTTTTATTTTCAAATTTTTGAAATGCATATAAGAAAAATGTCACTCTGGTTTGTTCTATTGTGCTGTGTTTGCTTTGAGATTATAAAATATATGGATCTTCAACATTTAATTAGGTTTTCGTTGTTTTTTGCTTATACTTAGCACCGATACCTTTGAACAAATGCATGTAAACTCTGCGACATGTGCCATTTTCCTATACATGTGATTACATTCAATTTCATGTCTGTCTGTATCCGTGCTTCATAGCGTTCCTTCCTTGGGTTGTTAGGGAACATTTGAATGTTTTGAGTATGTAGATTTTTTCTGAGCATTGATGCCTATATGTAATAGAATACTTTTCGCTTTATGAGTTTGGAATGCGAAGAAAACAAGATTTGAATAGCTTGGTGTAGAAACTAGTTAGAAAGCTGTTTCTTATATGATTAAATGAGGATAAATATAATAGAAATAATGATGGATATAATGAAATTTGTTTCACAAATCTATCATGAATGCATTAATGGAAACATGCAACTATATTATTCACTATATCCTCTATGATTTCCAATGGAGATATTAATAGGTAATTGATTAATTCACTTTTTGTGAATGGTCGTAATTCAACCTTTCAAACTAATTGACGTCACCATAGTGTTGGGTGGGATATATATTGGTTGCGATGAATTAGTAAGTCGTGCTAGTTGAAAATTTGAAAGTCATTTTCATGGTTTGTTCTTTTTTTTGTTTATATTGTGTAGGTTAAAGGGTGCTTTAAAGGGAGAGTAAAATGGCGACTTTAGCCGATATTGGTTATTCTGCAGCCATCAATCTGACGTCTGCAGTTACATTCCTTTTTGCGTTTGCAATGTTGCGACTTCAGCCTTTTAATGATAGGGTCTACTTCCCAAAATGGTACCTGAAGGGGATAAGATGCAGCCCAACAAATTCCAGATCAATTGTCAAGAAATTTGTCAACCTTGACTTTGGGACCTACATTAGGTTCCTCAATTGGATGCCTGCAGCATTGCATATGCCTGAACCCGAGCTTATTGATCATGCAGGCCTTGACTCTGCCGTCTTTATTCGGATTTATGTCCTTGGGTGAGTTAATGTGCACCCGGTTTTCATCTATTGGTTTTAAATTACTGTCAAGATTTTTGAGTGTTTGTGATTGCAATTTGAAACCTTTAGTAAAGACTCTAACAAAAGGACATAAGACATGGAACTATCTGATCTGCTGCTTTCTATTTTGATCTTATTATGCTTTTCTAATGTTTAGTTATTTTGTTTTTCTGACGGGAATACTCATATGCAGTGTCAAAATATTTGCCCCAATTACCGTACTGGCTTTTATGGTATTGGTTCCTATAAACTGGACTGGAAAAACTTTGGAAGCACCAGCAGCCAAGGATTTGACATTTAGCGATATTGACAAGCTTTCAATATCGAATGTTCCATTTGGATCAAAGAGGTGCAGTGATGCCTTTGACAGAGTTCTTCAAGCTCTATGTTACTCACTTTTTCTCTAACACACCACATATATTATTGAGAATTGAAGGAGTTATTGATTGTGTTTGGAACATAATAGATTGTAAATTTGATCTTTGCTTTTATTCTAGACAATCCAAATAAGAGTCTAATTAATAACTAAATTTACTTCTTTTGTTATAATAGGGTTGCAAACTCTTTTTGTCATGAATCATGATTTTTAATCTGGTTGCTTAATACTTTATGTTACGGAATTTCATGTCATTTTGTTTAGGTTTTGGGCGCATATTGGTATGTCATATGTCTTCTCAGCTTGGACATGTTATAGCCTTTATAAGGAATATATGATTATTGCATCAATGAGATTGCGATTTTTGGCATCTGAACGTCGCCGTCCAGATCAATTTACTGTAAGTTAATCTCATTTTCACGCAGCTATACCCTTAGCTGCTTCACTGTTCTTTGTATGTAAAAACATACTCCCCCTGTTTCAAAATGAGTGTCGGTTTAAGGTTTTTGCACACAGATTAAGAAATGCAATAAAATTGTCAAAAGACACTACAATTTTATTAAGTTAACCTTATTAAAATTTTAGAAGTAGTATAATTAAAATGTTAAAATGTTTGACACACTTTTTATTTGCTAAAACAACCCTCATTTTGAAACAGAGGGAGTATATAGTAATGTTGAAATTAGAATGTTTTGGAGTTCATTAGTTTGGAAAAGCTGATTAAGTGATGCCTATATGGCAGAAAAATAAATACATTTGAAACTCTAAGCTAGATCAGTTGTATTTGTCAAGCTCCATATGCAAAAGGAAAATATTTAAAAAAAGATTTATGAGATGCCAATAGGATATGCCTATTGTGACTATAGATATATTGATATGCAGGGTAGAAAGTAGTAATAGCAAATCCTTTTCTGTACTTGTGACAATTATGAGAACAGTTAGATTAATAAGCTTGTGAAACTATCCATTTGAGATGCTTGTCCTCTATGTTGTATATGATTTTTTTGGGGCCATTTCCAATAGTGTTTTGGGTTGTGGCTTTCATTTCTCATTTGTGTTGTATATTACCATGCTTTACTTTCTGTTATTGTAACTTGTAAGAACTGAGCTGATAGCTTCAGCCAAGTTCCAGTTGTCCTTGAGCAAGCTGAATGTTTTTTCGAAGTAACCATTTATTTTCTTCTTTTTTTCTCACAGGTCTTGGTGAGGAATGTTCCCCCGGATATGGATGAATCAGTCAGTGAACACATTGAACATTTTTTTTACGTCAACCATCCTGATCACTATTTGATGCATCAAGTATGTTGCTCAGTTACAACTACAAATATTGTGGCAAATGAAACCTGTATTTAGTTGTTTTTTGGTTGGGAATTATACATCCCTTTTATGTACTAACATAAAACAAATACATCAACAACTAAAAACTTTTTCCATTAGGCGGGTTCTCACACATAAAGTAAACTTAATTTCTTTTGGTTCTATGTGTCTTTATCCTGGAATGAGAAAAGGTTAAATAAATTATGAACACTACTCTTCAACTTTTAAAACGGAAAAGCTAGTATTTATAACTGAAAGAAATTGATTGATAAGCAATCACTCCCACACTCTGTATCAAGATAAAAGCTATTCTATATTCCTACTACATCATTACTATTATCTTAGTCTCCTATAAAAATAACAAAAAAACAAATGCTGCCAATTACAACTCAAAAATAGGAAACCAGCAATAAATATTTAGGCAGGAATTTGGGCCAAACCCACCTTTTGATGCACTGGTCTTCATCTGGAAAAGATCTGTAATTTAATGAGATTTTATTTTACGAGTCGAAGACTTTCTTCTATGAATCTCGAACTAGCACTATTTTTGTGATTTCCTGTGGTCTGACATGTGATTAACTTTTTCTGAATTATTGATAGGTTGTTTATAATGCAAACTTGCTTGCATCAATAGTTGAAAAGAAGAAGAAACTGCAAAACTGGTATGTTTACTATAATAACAAATTTGAAAGAGACCCTTCAAAGAGACCAACTACTCGGGTAGCTTTCTCTTCATAATTTACTGTTAACCAACTTTTCCTAATTTGAGCGAAAGAGACTTTCTTTTTGTTTTCCCTTCATTGTGATAATTATCATATGGTGATATCAGCATATATCATTTTAAATTTCACAGTTTGATTTCTTACTATATAAATAGTCAGGTATGATGGGTCTCTTGGGGACTAAAGTTGATGCCATTAATCACTATACTGCATTGATTGAAAAGTTGAGCGAACAAGTAAGTACTGATTTCAGCACCACTTTTGTTAGTATTTTTTTGTACAGATATTGATATGTGGAATGAAGTAGAATATACTAATTTAGAATTAACATATCATTGGCAAAACATTTTACGATGAAATGGAGTAAAGTTTCCATTCTATCATTTGGGAAGTGAACAAATTGATAAAAAAAAGTTAGAACTTCATCATTTATGTAGTGGTTCTATAGATATTTGATGGATTACAATATAATACATTTTACCGGGTTTTATCTCATTCCATTTTATTTTAAACCAATCCAAACAATGATTTTTTTTTCATTTTATGTTGCGTCATTCCCTTAATCTAAATATAGCCTTGTAATGTTCGGAAGTATAATCAAATTATGGCAATTGATTATCATTTTTGTTTCGCTGGATAAAATGGATATGCAGATCAGTTGGGTATGTAGTTTAAGACATTTTGGGCTTTTCAGTTCATTCTCTGCTCTCACTTTGCTGACTAATTAGGTTGGCTAGTAGTTGATTATTATTTAGGTTTGCTTCGCTAATCATGTTGGGCATCTTGTTCTACAAATGGTAAATGGCGTGTATGGTTTAGGTTCTCATTAGCAGTAACTCATAAAGTAATCACATGGCTAGTTTATTAATTGATTATAATCTACGGAGTCGCTGCTACTTGAACTTCTAGCTTATTAGTGTTGATAAAGGCATGATAATGTGAGGCTACAAGTTGGAAAAAAATGGAATAAAAGAATAAAAGGATAATCATTCATGTTCATGATATCAAATAGTCAGCCAGAACGGATTAGATACCCGTGGTTAAATTTTCCATTTGCTTTTACTTGTGTGTCCTATTAAAATCTCTTCAGATGTTATAAACGATCAATTTCATAGTGTTCATTTCAAACAGGAAGCTGAAGAAAGAGAAAATGTTCTAAATGATCCCAATGCTATTATACCTGCAGCATTTGTTTCATTCAGAACCCGATGGGGGGCGGCTGTGTGCGCTCAAACTCAACAAACTAGTGATCCTACCGTTTGGCTGACAGAATGGGCTCCTGAGCCTAGGGATGTCTACTGGGAAAATCTTGCAATTCCATATTTTGACCTGAACCTTAGAAGATTGCTCACCACTGTCTCTTTGTTTTTCCTTACTTTTTTCTTTATGATACCTATAGCCTTTGTGCAATCTCTAGCTAACATTGAGTCAATCGAGAAGGTCCTTCCATTCTTGAAATCAGTAATTGAAAAGTAAGTGCTTTCAATCTTATAGTTAATTAACATACTAATTTTGTATTCTAAATTGTAAATTCATCTTTCCTTGGCCCCCAAATGCTTATCAACTGAACAATTTGGAAAACACTTTCTTTTTCCTGTCGAGCGAAGTAATAAATAATACATTTTTTCCTTTTTTTAATCATCTAAATGGTTAATTACTGTGATGGTTTCCTTTTTCCATAGCTGAAATGGAATACACAGCAATTTTATGTTATTCTGTGGAGTAATGGAATTACTCATTGCAGGCCATCTGTAAAGTCTGTTATTCAAGGATTTCTTCCAGGGCTAGCATTAAAGTTATTTCTCATAATGCTTCCAAACTTACTTATGACAATGTCCAAAATAGAAGGTTTTATATCGCTTTCCAGTTTGGAACGGAGATCAGCTTCCAAATATTATTTGTTTATTCTCGTCAACGTGTTCCTCGGGAGTATTGTAACAGGAACGGCATTTCAGCAACTCCAGAGTCTTATTAATGAGCCCTCTTCAGAGTAGGCTTTGAGCTTGATGAGTTTAGACAGCTTTCATTTGGGCACTGAAATTGACAACAATTGACGTGATGTTTCTATTAAAAATATCTGCAGGTTCACAAAAACTGTTGGCAGTACAATCCCCATGAAAGCCACATTCTTCATGACATACATTATGATCGACGGATGGGCTGGAGTATCTGGAGAAATCCTCAGGTTATCTACGTTAATCACGTTCCACCTGAAAAACACATTTTTAGTGAAAACGGAACAAGACAGAGAGAATGCCATGGATCCTGGAAGCTTGGCTTTTGCTACATCTGAACCTAGAATCCAGTTATATTTCATGCTGGGGCATGTCTATGCTCCAGTCACACCTTTACTTCTTCCCTTCATTGTAGTCTTCTTTGCTTTTTCCTACATGGTCTTTCGGCACCAGGTGAGTTCTGGATAGAGTTTGCTACATATTTTGTTGCTTATAATAAATGCATATCTAAACAAGAAAAAAGAAGATGAACTTCATATTTTGATACAAAACTTACTTTAATCTTGACCAATGGCTATTTTTTCTTGGCACAAGATTATCAATGTGTATAACCAGCAATACGAGAGTGGAGCAACATTTTGGCCAGATGTCCACCGTCGAGTAATCATCGGCCTGATTATATCTCAAATTCTTCTGATGGGATTGCTTAGTACAAGAGGTGCAAATAAATCAACACTATTGCTTATTGCACAACCTGTCTTGACAATCTGGTTCCACAGATATTGCAAAGGGCGCTTCGAATCTGCATTCGTAAAGTTCCCCCTAGAGGTTGGTTAAGCAATTACCATTTACATATATTAAATATTGTGCATGTTAACTTGAGACCAAATGCAAGGTTTTAAATTGTAGTCTTAATTTTTGATATCAAGAAGAACCTGAGGTCATGCGACCTCAATCACTGTCCTATTATAGTCATAGAAACTTAAAAAATTCCCGGCCGAATCACATAATGAAGATATTTAATGGTAGTCTAGTATTTAACTTCATTAGTGTGACATATGAGATTTGATGACAGGATGCAATGGTGAAGGATACACTTGAAAGAGCTGTTGAACCAAACTTGAACCTTAGACTTTATCTTGAGGATGCATACGTACACCCAGTTTTTAAGAGTGATGAGTATGAAAAACCTGATATAGTTGATGACGAAGAGGAGAATCCTCTTATTCAAACAAGAAGAACTGCTCGGAGTAGCAAGCCAGAATCTGAAAATGAAGCTGCCAGTGCAGGCAGTTGCTAAGGTACATTTGCCATTTGCCATTTGCCATTGAAAGAAATGCTCATTGAGTCATTATAAGATGCAGCAAGCAGCATGCCTACAACCATTTGCATCACTCATACAAAAACTGTTGTTGTATATATACATCTGTACGTATTTGTTTTACTTTTGTTGTTGTAATTAATATAGAAAATAATGTGTTTGGTGTAGATAAACAGTGAAAAGTATGTATATTTGATTTTCTTATAAAAAAATTGTTGTATATTTGATTCATGATACTGCAGAATCAACACCCTATAATAGTTTTAAATTTGATTCATGGTATAGCAGAATCAACACCTTTATAACAATAATTTTTTAGAAAACGTTTGAGAGTTTATATAGATACACCTCAGAAATAAATTATTATAAATTAGTATATTAAAAAATATTATTTCTGTCTCAATTTATATCATTTTATAATAACACTAAATTATTGGTGTTTATATTTCTCTATATTACTTAATTATTATTCATATATTTTAATTTTTCATCTTCATACAATCAATTAAGATGATTTCATAAAGTATTTTTTTATATTTTTTAATTTGTATAAAATGTTACTTCTAAAGTGAAATATACTCTACGGACAGAAGGAGCAGTACATAGAAATTAGGCCACTTTCCCAATAAAATACCAAGAGAAGCAGTTCCTTTCAAAATGAGTGCATCACTGTAAAATGATGAGATATTTGTCGTTTCAGAAAATTATTCCAATCAAACATAATTTTTGATTGGCTTAACCAACGGTAAGGAGCATGAGTTGAGAGGAAAAAACGAAATGTCATTCTCCAAAACTAAAACAAAAGTGCCCCTAAACCCCCACCAATGACACAATTTTAGATGTGTTGTGCGGTCCCAGAATTAGATACCTACACACTCTACATCCACACCCACACCCACGACACAATCGTTTATCCCATTCTTTTTCCTCTTCTTCAGAATCCATCCATCCCTTATTCAATTTCTCTTCAATCACTTGAATTCACACTCAGATGACAAATCTATTGCCAACATTTTCCTTCTCAGTGATTCCGCATAAATTTGAAACCAAATGCTCCTTTTTTCCTACTTCCTTTACCTGCATTCAGCATCAGAACCAACTTGTTAGTAAAAATTTGCAAGATCTCATAATCCCCTTTTCTCAGAATCTCACTTCAAAATTGTGTGCCACGTCATCAAGATTGTCTATAGAAGAAACTGAGCAGAAACTCATTCCTTTCACACAATCAGAAGACATCAAAACAGCATTGCCTTATTTGTTTCGGACAGAAATAAGTGAAGGTTTGGTCAAAGTTTATGTCAAAAAGAAAAAAGATACTTATTTTGTTTATATTGAGGTTTCTTATTTAAAGTTAAGTAATATTGAAGGGGAAACATTTGTGTTGTGTTGGGGTGTGTATAGCGGTGATTCCTCAAGTGTGGATTCTGGGAAAGGGATGAATATGAGTCCCTTGGTGAAAAATTCTCTTGGAAAATTTTCAGTTGAATTGGAATTTGATGTTGAACAAGTTCCTTTGTACTTGTCTTTTTTGTTGAGATTGTCTGGATTGGAAATCAGAACCCATCTGAAAAGGAATTTTTGTGTGCCTGTTGGTTTTCTTAGGGGTCGTCCGTCTCCATTGGGGATCTCTTTTTCTCCTGATGGGTCTATCAATTTCACAGTTTTTTCAAGGCATGCAGAGCGTGTGGTACTGTGTTTGTATGATAACAATGATGACACTGGTGTGAAGAAGCCTGCTTTGGAGCTTGATCTTGATCCTTATGTCAATAGGTCAGGTGATATATGGCATATCTCTTTGGAGAATGCAAAGAGTTTTGTGAGCTATGGTTATCGTTTTAGAGGAGCTAACAGCGATAACAGTTATGCTGAGTGTGTTGTTTTGGACCCTTATGCTAGAATTGTTGGGAATTCTTTTCCTAATGGTATTGGGTCAGCGAAGAACCTTGGATTTTTGAGAAAGGAACCTGCTTTTGATTGGGGTCATGATTATCATCCGAATTTGGACATGGAGAAACTAGTGGTGTATAGGTTGAATGTGAAACGCTTTACCGAGCATGAGTCGAGTCAACTTTCCAGTGATTTAGCTGGGACATTTTCTGGTTTGGCTAAAAAGTTGCAGCATTTTAAAGATCTGGGTGTGAACGCTGTTCTGTTGGAGCCAGTTTTCACATTTGATGAGGAAAAGGGGCCTTATTTTCCTTGTCACTTTTTCTCTCCAATGAACCTTTATGGACCTTCTGGTGATCCTGTATCTACTATAAACTCTATGAAAGAGATGGTGAAAACTTTGCATGCCAATGGGATAGAAGTTATAATGGAAGTTGTTTTCTCCAATACTGCCGAGGTTGGTGCTCTGCAAGGAATTGATGACCTATCTTACTATTATGCAAATGGTGTTGGTGGTTTAAAGGTACACAGTGCTTTGAATTGTAACTATCCTATAGTGCAAAATTTGATTTTGGATAGCCTTAGGCATTGGGTTAGTGAGTTTCACATTGATGGCTTCTCATTTGTAAATGCTTCACATTTGTTGAGGGGGTATCATGGAGAATACTTGTCTCGACCTCCCTTGGTCGAAGCAATTGCTTTCGATCCGGTACTGTGGAAAACTAAAATCATTGCAGATTGCTGGGATCCCAATGACATGGAAGCAAAAGACATTCGCTTTCCTCATTGGATGAGATGGGCTGAAATAAATACAAATTTCCGCAGCGATGTGAGGAATTTTCTAAGAGGCGAAAGTCTTCTTAGCAACCTTGCAACAAGACTTTGTGGGAGTGGAGACATGTATTCGGATGGAAGAGGCCCTGCGTTCTCTTTTAATTACATTGCCGGTAATTTCGGACTTTCACTTGTGGACTTAGTCAGCTTCAGCAATACTGGTCTAGAGGCTGAGTTGAGTTGGAACTGCGGAGAAGAAGGACCTACTAATAGTACTGTTGTCCTTGAAAGACGACTCAAACAAATCCGCAATTTCCTATTCATCTTGTTTGTGTCATTAGGAGTACCTATTTTGAACATGGGAGATGAGTGTGGCCACTCCTCTGGTGGTTCTCTTGCCTATGGTAACACAAAACCCTTCAATTGGGCGGCTTTAAAAACAGGTTTTGGTAACCAAACCATCCAATTCATTTCCTTTTTGACTTCGTTGAGAACAAGGCGGAGTGATCTTCTTCAAAGTAAGAGTTTCTTAAAAGAAGAAAACATTGAATGGCGAGGAGTTGACGAGGCTCCCCCAAGATGGGAAGATCCATCCTGCAAGTTCCTAGCCATGACTTTGAAGGCTGAAAGAAACGAACATCAAGAGAGCTCTGTATCTTCTGATATATTAGGGGATTTATTTGTTGCTTTCAATGCAGATGATCGTCCAGAAACTGTAGTTTTGCCCTTGCCTCCAGAAGGGATGTCATGGTACCGCATAGTTGATACTGCTCTTCCATTTCCTGGGTTTTTCTTGAACAACAGTGACCTTGTCCTAGAGCAAATGTCAGGTTTGTCTACTTATGAAATGAAGTCTTACAGCTGCATTTTGTTTGAGGCAAATATTAGTCCTAGTTAGAACACTTAGGAACACAATGGCTACGGAGCTGCAGATAAAATCTTTCCCTCACCATCCTTTGTAAATTTTGTCATTACTTGAATTTCCCTCCGTTGTGAATTTGCAAACCAATAATTATGATATATTAAGACAAAAGGATGAGAATAAATACTGGGCTGTTTTCTTGTGTAAATATACTCAGTAGTTTTGTCGCGATGGTTTCTCATGCTCGGTTGGTGATTAAGATTCAGCTAGCCTGAATGTATTTGGCATCGTGTAAACAATAAGTTATTCTTTGACTCACCAAGTAAATGTGACAAGCCTACCACCGTCACCAAGTAAAATTTCTATTTTCTTAATAATTGAGTTCGCTGGATAAGATTGATTTAATGACAAGTTTTGAGACAATCTCATCTGTTTTCGTTGAACAATCAGGTTGGTAATTGTGTCGTAAAATATTTAAGTAAGAAATACTTAATAACAATCCAGCATATCCTGGACCATTCTTGACCATTTACTGTTCTGAACAAATTCTCTTGCAGAAATGCATTCACCCTTCCATGCAAAATCCATCCATAACAGGGTATCATAAATTTCACTTGATGCTTGCTATGGTCCTTGATGCTGTCAAATGACACCATACAAGATTGAAAAGAAAAACTAATGAAAGGAGATTCAACCATATAGCTTCATGCATTTAAGCATTACTATATTCACATTTTTTTGTTTGCATAAAGTATAAATCACACTCCAATAATTACAATAAAAGATATTGATAGACGCAAATTACCGAAAAATACACTGCCCGAATAAAAGCCATTCGACAAGAAGTTTACTTAAATAGGAAGAAAAGTATTTCACTGTGCCAGCTTGAAAATAAAACCTTTACAATTGATTAAAGTAAACTGTGACGAACTAGGAATTCATTGCAAGGTATATATACCACTGATGTTTCTAAAAGTAAAGGTAGTAATCAGTATAGTATTTGCCAGTTCTGATAGATTTATGACCTACACTCCAACTTCGAAAAGGCGAAGAGCAACCTCATCTTCATTCAATCGTCTTAATCCCTTGCTGAGTCTCTTCAACAATTGCACATCAACTTTCTGGACCCACATTGGAGAGCAACCCACCATCATCTTCACACATCCACATAGGCTCGCCAAGTAGATTGATGGCAACGTAGTGATGTATTCCTCTCCAGGGTGCTTTCAAGGAATTCCAAATGCATCCCAATAATGCCTGCCCGATGATTTGGTGGAACTGAATAATGGTCAATACCCCGTGCAAATGCCACACTAAGCATAAAAAATTACGCCAGTGCATGGCCGCTAAGCATAGCAACCAGAACTCCAGATTTTCCACCATTATGCTCCAACGTATCAGCTGATAAAAACCAGAAAGGAACAGTGTATTATTGATGATTGAATCAATTTTTGAC